TAAACAAATATAATGTTGTTTTATTTATGAAAGGGACAGCTTTAAATCCTTATTGTAAATATAGTAAACAAGCTATTCACATTTTAAAATTAAACAAAGTAAAAGAAATTCATACTGTTAATATTTTAGATAATCAACAATTAAGAAATGCTTTAAAAATATATTCTAAATGGCCTACATTTCCTCAATTATATGTTAATCAAAAATTTATAGGTGGAATAGATAAGTTGAAGGAATTGCATGACCAAAATAAATTCAAAGATATTATATAATATATATATATATATATATATATATTATATATTTATTTATTTATATTTAAAAATACGTCCATTTTAGTTTTTTAAACCAAGGGCGTTTTCAAATGTATTTGTAATATTTTGTACAAAATAAAAAATATATATTTTATAAAAAACACAAATAAAAAAATTACACACATATATATATATTATATGTGAACAAAAAAAAATAAAATGAAATAAAAATGAGAAAGAAATGTATATATAATAAATTTCATATATATATATATATATATTTATTTATTTATTTATTTTTATTTGTTCCCACTATTATGTGCTTGTGGTTTATTTTATCAAATTCAATAATTTTGTCTATGTGAACTAATATTCAAAAGATTAAATTAAAAAAGTCATATGGGAATAGTTTCCATATGATATGTTTTTTTTTAGGAATATAGAAATGAAAGAAATTATTATATTTTTCAAAAAATTCATATAAGTATTCATTATATATAATTTCATCACCATAAATTAAACTTGATTCTGGTACATAAGCAAAATGAAAAGCTTCTTCATCAGTTTGATTAGTATCATTTTGTTTTTTTTTTTCTTCATAATTTTGATTATATGTTGTTAATTTATCATTATTATCATAATACATTTTGTTTTTATTATTTCTATTTTTATCATGTTGATTCAAATAATCTTTATAATCACCATCATTCATATTTATATTTACTTGAACATTTTTTTTAATATATACATTTTTATCTTCCTTATTATTACCTTTTGTACAATTCTTTCTATTTGGATCCTTAGTATAACAAAATACATTTTGATTTTTTTTCTTCTTGTTATTTATTAAGAGAAGATAATGAACTGTGTTTTGAAATTCAGGGGGATATTCAGAAAATGTTTTTTTTTTCCATATATTTGGTGCAAGACATGAATAATCCCAACTAACAACTACAGCTTGATAATTCCAGTATTTGTGTCTTACAACATTTCCTATATGAAATATTGGAATAGATTTATATATTCGTTTCCTTACATAATTACCTAAACCAAAATGATATTTTTTTCCAAATATTATTTCTGTATCTTTTGGTACAGCTTCAAAAGAAAGGAAATTTTTATTCTTAAATATTTTATTTTGTAAATGATAAAATTCCAACATATTTATTTTATCATCATTACTAATAAAATGGTCATTCTTTAATATATCCTCTTTATTAAAAAAAACATTACGTAATAATGTATATTCATTATGATTTGTATAGGATGATATATTCACGTCATTCCATTTATTACTAATATTACCAATATTATTATTCATACTATTATTATCGTTAGTTATATTATTACTACTTTTAATATTAGACATATCATCGTATTTATTATAGATAATATTATTAAACATATGGTTTTCCCATTTATCCTGAAGCTGCGAACTAGCAGCATATATATTCCTAAAACATTTCACTGTTTCATTTTTTGATTTCATTGGAATATGTAACATTGGATGAGCACAGAGATAAGGTGAAGTTATATGCACATAATAATGACATTCCGTTGATTGAAACACATTTACAACTTTTGTTTGAGTTGCATTTTTGTAATTTAAAGAACAGTCAAAATATATTGTAGTTAGATAATCATGAACTTCGTCTAAGGAATCTATACATTTTCCTCCCTTTAAATCAAAAGCCAAAGCTTTGTAAAAACTTCCATCTCCATATTTCAGTACCTCCAGTGGCTTATCAATTATATAGGAACTTACATAAGAAATACGGTGTGCTGATGAAGAAAAGTACGCAGAAAGAGATGTTATGTAAAACGGGGTATAAGATACATTAAAAGATGATGGGAATAAATTTGGTGCTGATGACAAGGTATTTGATGAGGATATTCTTTGTGTAGAAGATGTATTATTTGGTGTAGTCATACTATTTTGTGATGATATATTACTTGATATTCCAATACTATTTGGAGATAACTCATTCGTTAAAGAAAATTCCTCGAGAGACGATAACATTTGTGGGGATGTTAATGTTTTTTTATTTGAATAATCATATTTTACATCTAATATATTTGAATTATTCGTAGTCCTAGAAGATAATGAATTTTCTTGTGTATTTAAAGAATTAGATGTTGAAAAGTTTCCTTTCAATTTATTAGAATATTCTATAGATTTTTTTATCATATGATTTGATTTTAGTACAGGAAAAATATCATACATTTTTTCATAAAAGGCTTTACCTTCATTAAGTGAATTATATGAAGATCCTAATAAAACTAATGGATATTTTTCTTTTCCAAAAGCATTCTTCTTATATTGTATAACACTATATGGTAAACATATTTCAAACATGGTATCATCTTCTCTAATAAAATGATGACATTTATTCATCAGATTTTTTAAAAGAAAAAAATTTGGTGGATTTATTTTCTCTGTATAATTACAAAACATATAACCACTTAATGTAATACGATATAAATATATAGCTTCAGGATAATATAAATTTAAATTCTGTATTAATTTTTCTTTTAATGATTTATAATAATGTTCACTATATTCATAATTAGAAAACGATTTAAAAAAATATACATCATTATCTTTTAATTTTTTAATTATAATATTATAAAGTTTAGTAATATTTGCATTTAAATGTTCATATATTTGAAAAATAAGTGGATAATATACATTATACAGCTTTTCAAAACTGTTAACTCTTAAATTATTATTACCACATAGAAATAATAGTTCAAAAAAATATTTCCCATCACTATAATATTGTACAACAGTATTATTAGAAAATAGCAAATCTTTTCCTACAGCATAAGTAGATATAGTGATATGATTTTTATGTTTCGTATGATATCTTTTTGTTATAAATGATATAGATTTATTTAAACAGATTTTTAATATATTTCCATAATAAAATGCATCAATACATGTATTATTTATTGTTAACATTTTCCCTTTTATTATATGATTCTTTAATAATACATCATCATTAATATTATTATAAATTCTATATTTATGATATACATTAATTTTATGTTTATAAAAAATATAATCATACAACCTTTTAAAATTACAGTTAAATGTCTTATTTAATTTATCAAACTTTTCATTTCTTTCGTTCCAAAAATAATCATAATGATTTTTTTTTTTTTTATCTCTTTTATTTTCCTTAAATTCTTTCGAATATTTATTATTTAATCTATTCAATACGTTATTACATGTCCAACCGCTATTATTACTCCTCTTATAACCTTTATTATCACCAACATCATTAATAATATTATTTTTAATATCACTTCCTTTTATATTTTCACCTTTGATATTCATCCAATTATGTACATTATGATATTCAATTTCGTAGTTATCCTCCTTTAGGTATAAATTATAGTTCATATTATTATTATCTGCATATTTTAAAAGAAAGTTTTTATTTAGCTGTTCTTCTACATAATCATAAATATTGTGCTTTGTATAATAATCATTATTAGTTTGATTCTCACCATTATTACTGATATGATTATTCTTATTATTAATATAATTATTATAATAATAATTATTACTGTTATTATTGTTATTACTGTTATTATTGTTATTATTGTTATTATTGTTATTATTGTTATTATTATTTATTCCTTTATGTTCATCAACCCCATTAGGGTAAAAATCATCAACGTTTTTCAATAAATCATATTTTTCACATGTATCAAAACTATCAGACTTATCTAATATACAAAGAAAGGAATCTTTTCCTACAGTTATGTTCGTATATTTTAAGGATCTATCTAAATTAATTAAGGCACTAGGTACACTATAATCTAGTTGTATCTGATATTTTGTATTTAAGAAACATATGCAAACCAATACGTTTACAATAATAACAAGAAAAGTAAACATCTTTTTTATATCATATTTACTCTGATATTTTTCATTATTCGATATATTATATATATATGTATATATATATATATATATATATATATATATATATATATATATATAACTTGAAATTAAAAAAAATACAAAATGGTACTTTAAATATTAATTCTTAATAAGTAATATATAAATAAAACACGTTAATATATAAATATATATATATATATTAACGTGTTTTATTATTTTCTCTTTTATTTATTATTTTGTTTAAATTTATTTCTACTAATATATATATATATATATATATATATATATATTATATATGTACGAATGTGTAATATAAAAAAAATAATAAATAAGAAATTAAATTTCAATATTAAATATACAATGGAATTTACCAAAAAATTATATTATTATATAATGTATTACTATTATAATATATATATATATATATATATATATATATATATAATATATGTGCAGTATTTTTTTTCTGGTCCTTATAATTTTTATTTATTAAATATTCATATTTTTTTTTTATCGCAAACATATAGGAATATATAAAATATACATTATATATATATAAATATAATATAATTATCTATTCCTTTTATTTCATTATTATTTTATTTATATATTTTATTTATTTATTATTATTTTTTTTTTTTGTTTGTTTGACCCTTATATCTTCCACCCATTTTATAAGAATAAATATAATAATATTTCTATTTTATTAAAAAAACATTATCTTTGAATAAGGCATTATTTAACAAAAAAAAAAAAAAAAAAAAAAGAAAAAAATATTTTTACATACTTTTTTTTCTTTTTTTAAAATACATTTATTTTGTTTTTAATTCATTAAAAAGATGATGAGAATTAAGTATTATACAAGAAGAAAGAGAAGAAGCAAGAAAAAAAAAAAAAAAAAAAAAAACTGAAACTTGAAATAGGTGGCGAAAGATATTTCAAATTTCATTATACAAATTTTTTCTTTTTTCTTTTAGAAGATATAATCTTAATTATATTTTATAAAATAAATTAAAAAAAAATATAATTGTAAAATCTTCTTAACAAGAACAAATACAAAACATTTGTATTCCTATTATTTCATTAATGAAATGATAATTTACAAACTTGATAAAATGAAAATAATAAAAAAATAAAATAAATCTTTACGAATGTTAGAGATAATTTTTATATATTTTATTTTTTACTTATTTATCAAAACACCAAAAGGAAAAAAAAAAGAAAAGGAATATATATATATATATATATATATATTATACATATATATACATATTCGTCAATTGGACAAAATTGTTTACTCCTTTGACAATATGAATTTTTTTTTTTTTTTTTTTTTTTGCTTCTTCTCATTTCTATTATCATGATTTATGAATGAAAAAAATCTTTGGTAATCTGATTTTTAATGAATTAAAAATAAAATTTAACAATAACAATAGTTTATAATTTAAAAAAAAAAAAAAATATATATATATATATTATATATATATAATTATATTTCTTTTTATGACAAATATATATAAATTATAAACATACATAATAACATATATAAATAAATATATATATACTTTTAACCTTTCTTTTTTCCCCTTTTTTTTATTTCCTTGTTCTTTTTTCAAATGTGAATAAATACATATATATATATATATATATATATATATATATATATATATTTATATATTTATATATTTATATATTTATATGTATAAAATATAAATACTAAAAAAGTACAAAATTTCATAAAAAATTTACATGTTAATATTAATAAAGAGATCTCTATACCTTCATCATTATTCCTTAAAAAGTGTAATGTAATAGCAAATATAAAAATTATTTAAATGAATTATTAAAAAAAAAAAAAGGAAAAAAAAAAAAAAAAAAAAAAAATAAAGAAAAAAACATGAAAAATAAAAAAAATATAAAAAAATAAAAGATATATTTTTATTGTGTAATAATTGAATCTACGTTAGTTAATTCTCCTTCTGAATCTTCATTTTCTTCATTTCTCATTTTTTTTCCTATTGTAAACAAATTTAAATAAAAATTATGATAAATGATAACAATACAATAAAAAAACAGATGAAAATATAGAAATATATATATATATATATATATATATATATATATATATGCAAAAAAAATAAAAACAATAAACATATTTATATATTATATTTTTTTATCTTATATTTGTATTACTTTCTAAGATAATATTTCCTACACGGTATATTATAGAACCAAATAGGTAGCCAAACTGTAAAAAAAAAAAAAAAAAAAAAAAATATAAATATATATGAACGAACAAGCCATTTGATATTACATATTATATATACAAATTATTTTGTTCATAAAAAAAAAAAAAAAAAAAAAAATCATTTTTTAATTTCACTTACCAAAGTTACGAAATCTAATAATCTTGGTTCTCTTACCACATCACCCTATAAAATTAAAAAGTAAAAATAATATAAATGAATACATACAATTATTATAAAATAAGAAACGTTGTACCATCATAAACATTTAAAAGTATATTGTGAAAAAAAAAAAAATTACATATAGACATATAAAACATATATATATATATATATATATATATATATATATTTATATTTATATTTTTTTAATTCTTACGGCTAAGAATTTAAAGTAATAAGCAATTGCAATTGCTGGACCTTGTATACAACTGACAATAGTATATGTCATGGTAGAAAATTTGTCGATAATCTATAAAAAGCATAGAAAATGAAAAATTATAAGGTTATATATATATATATATATTAAAAATCCAATTAAACATTCACATATTTATTTTCCCTTGTATGTATCAACGTTTTTCATCCTTTTTATTCTTACATAGCTGGTTATTAAATTATCACAAATATTAAAGAAGGAAAACAAAGCGAAGGTTTTCTAAAAAAAAAAATAAATAAATAAAATAATAATATATATAATATTGTTTTAATTAATTATTATTGTTAAAATATATATATATAAATGTCTTTTATAATTTTTCAAAATGTTTATAATCTTCTTACCCATGCTCCGTCACAATCATCACATAACTTGGCCATACCAAGACCACAATTCTGAAGAGAAAAAAAAAAAAAAAAAAAAAAATTATATAATAAAATAAAATAATAAATAAAATAAATCGAACATTAAAACATATATTTTTCATTAAGTAACATGATAAGTAGTAATTTTTAATATATAATGCAAATCCTAGTTTACCTCTACGACTGTGTTTCTTCCCAAGAATAAGCATGCGAAACCATTTTTTATATTTGTCCATATTTCATTATATGGTAAATGAACTAAAAAGGGAAAATTATACATACATACATATATATATATATATACATGGGCATATTTTATTTAATTTTATTTTTTCTTTCATAATTAATTCTTACGTTGTTTTAAAAACGGAAGAGTGTATACAGGTAATATAAGACAAGAAGTGAACAATTGGAAAAAGGATACCATAGCCTATAAGAAATAAAAATAACAGAAATAATTATAATGACTTATACGAATAAAAAAAAAAAAAAAGGTGGTAAAAAAGGAAACAAATATAATAAATATATATATATATATATTAATATTATATATTCCTGCTTACATTTAATCTTAAAATATCAATCTTATATTTTTTAAAAACTATTTCCCTTGTCATGTTTGAAAAGCATACAGGCTAAGAAAAAGAAAGAAAAGAAAAAAAAATGATAAAGAATATAAATTAATATAATAAAGACATAGTCTAAGTGTTAATGATTATTAAATATTACAATATATATATATATATTTATTTATATATATTTTTTTCTTACGATTAAGGCACTTATTAAGACAAGATTAAATATGATAGAATTTTCTTCTTGTGTTTCAAAAGATAATTTCATTTCTACAAGAGCTATTGTTACAACAATAATAATTGCTCCAACATAATTGTATAAGTGATATCTAAAAAGGAGTAAATAAATAAATATAAATAAATCAACATATATATATATATATATATATATTAGATATATCCCCTTTATTTTGTAATTTAAAATGGTATACTTACTTATATCTTAATATTAAAAAGCAGAAGAACATATTAATAGGAATACTTAATTGTAGAACAAATGATTGGATATTTCCAGTAGTTCTTGTAAGACCTATAAAGGCCAAAATGACTGAACAGGCGTCTAACATGGATATAGCAAAAAATTGCAAATTAAAACTTCGGTGTCGTTCCTAAAAAGGTCATAAAAAATAAATCAACACACATACATATATATATATATATATATATATATATATATATATATGTATAATGTTTTATATTCGTAGGTGGAATAAATTCTCTTATAAATCCATAATTTTAATATATTGATTTATCTTACTTTTGAATTTCCCTTTTTATTTCCAAATAAGGAATAAACAATAAAGAACATAATCATACAAATAAAGTTGTGAGTTTCTGATGTTACAAAACTATAGTTACCAATTTTGTTTAAAGTTCTTTTGGCAAAAATTTTATTCATTACACATACACTTAAATAAATAATACTTAAAATATAAATAAAAATATTATCCTTAATCTCTTTAAAAATAAGTTTAAGCACATGAGCACATTTACCAAGACAAGAACCTCCACCTAATTGTGAGCCATCTGTTAAGGTTGACAAGGAAATAAAAAAAAAAAAAAAAAAAAAAAAAAAAAAATTAATACATATATGTGTATATATATATGTATATATATATGTATATATATATATATATATCCAATAGGTGTATTTATCTATTCACTTATATAATTCAATATTTCTATTTTTGGATACTTACTTCCTTGTACTAAATTATCTAATTCTCTATAACGCTCGTCATTTTTGTTTGAATTTTTTTGGTTATTTTTTTTGCTCGCGAATTTCATTTTATTATATGTAAGAAATTAAAAAAAAATAATAATAAATGAATGTATAATAAATAATATGACAGAGTGTATTATTAACGGATGTTATAGTCTAAAAGTATATCGGAATGTAGATTTTAAAATTTTAATGTCATATATGTGGAAGACAATCAAAATAATCTATAGAATTATTTAACTTTTTAAAAAATATACATGTATGTATATATATATATATATATATATATATATATAAATTTTTTTTTCATATATTATTAAATATTCTCCATTAAAAAAAAAAAAAAAAAACTTCATGTATTATAGAAATATTGGCATATCAATATATATATAAATATATTATATATAATATACAAAAATGGAGCCACAAATATATAGAAAATATATTCAAATATACATCATATATAATATATATATATATATATATATCTAAAATATTTGTACAAATTATATATATATATGTTTATTAAAAAAAGCTTAGCAGTACAACTTGGAAAAGTAAAAAAAAGGGAAAAAAAAAAGAAAAAATAGTAATATATATATATATATATATATATATTATATATACATAAATATATTTTTATAAACAAATTTGTTTATAAATGAATCCTATTTAAATTATATAAAAACTTTATATAACAATTTATATAATGGAGGACATTTATTAAAAATATATGTACTTTTTTTATTAAGTTAAAATTCTTAATTTCAAAAAAAAATATATATATATAATAAAATATACAATATATATATATATATATAATAAAATATACAATATATATATATATATAATAAAATATAAATATATATATATATTTATACAATAAACAGAATTAACAATGGAAGGTCAAAAAAAAAAAAAAAAAAAAAAGGTTCACGTATAAGAATATAGATATTTTTAGAATAATATTATTTATTATATTTCCAAAAAAAATATATATATATATATATATATATATATATATATATATATCTATATAACATATTATTATTAATATTTATTTATTAATATAAATCAAATTAATAAATAAATACGATTTCTATATGAAATTTATTTTATCTCATGATATATAATAAAAATACTATGGAAATATATAAATTATATATATTAATTATGATGGATGGGACTATATTAAATATATAAGAATTTCTTATATATTTAAACAATAAAAAAAAAAAATAAAATAAATAATCGGAAAAATAGGAATATATAAAAAATATATATTTTTTATATATAATAATAATAATAGGTATAAAGTTCTTCTTTTTTATTTATAAATTATAATAAAAAAAAAATATATAAAAATTTTCTTTTTGCATATGGAAAAATAAAAAAATATAATATATAAAAAAATATTTATTTTTATATAAAAAAGTAAACTTTCTAAAATATAAATATAAAAAAGAAATTTATAATTATTATGTTATTATTTATAATATATATATATTATATATGTATATAGAATCACTCAACTACTATTATATATATAAAATTTCTAA